TCTGGCTCTGATTCCTTGCGGCTTCACAACCGACATTCCATTGCACATGCACGAGCTGCCCTGTGCTATCTGAATGGTCCTGCAGGTCCCCGGGACCTAAGACATGTCCCAAGAGGTTGCGGGCAGAAGTGTGGGGGGGGGGGGGGGAATTCCACTTCGATCACCTAGGTCAGGGTTTCTCAACCAGGGTTACGTGGAACCCTAGGGTTCCTCCAGAAGTTGCCAGGGGTTCTTTGAGCAACAAGCTATTTTTTGCCTCTCAGATAGGTTCCCACTGACACCATTGATCTTTTTAGCTCTCTGTAAGGGGGTAAGCCTTCCCAATGACCACAAGTGTAAGGAGCAATCTTCCCACCGACTATCACACTAATGTATCCTGAGTTGTAGATAAAGTCATTTTTAGCAGGTGACTGAGACTGAAAACGTATGTCAAGGGTTGCTCTGCATTGAAAAGGTTGAAAAAAGCTGACCTAGGTGGTCGCAGCAGAAGTGGGGAGTGGGCAGGGGCGGACTAACCATTTGGAAACTCGGGCACTGCCCGAGGGCCCGGGGTCAGTAGGGGGCACCATGAGATGCCCCTGGTACCTTTTTCATAGGATTTTTTGAGTTTGGGCAAGGACACAGGGGCCCCATGATCCCCTATTGCCCGGGGGCTCCATGAGTTGTCAGTCCGCCCCTGGGAGTGGGTATCTGTCAAAACTAGGTACTTGCTCCCCCCTCCCAAAAAAAATTCTAGATATGATAGTGGAGCAGGGTGGAGGAAGAAAAGCAGAACTTCCCCTGAAGTCTTGCTTTAAGAATAGGATATAGGTTATATAGCGAGCGCCCACTGTAATGCAAAGATTAAGCTGCTAGAACACCTAAAAAGGTAACCAACATAACCTTCCAAAATAGTGTAAAGAGTGAGTGTTGGCCACCTGCGGTAAGCCCTGGACCCTTTTGACAAAGTGCATCGCACGAAACGCGTCAAGGGGGGCTACAGCACATGGACATCTAAGCCACCGCAGGTGGCCAACACTCATTCTTGCGGTCAGTACTTTTTTGCCTGTTTACGTTATATATACTTGGAATAAAGCTTTTTAAAACAGTATCACGCTATGGGATGTCCCTTATTGCTCTCTTATTGCTCTCTTATTGCTCTCTATGAGCACTACCCTTCTAGTATCAAGCTTTAAGGAGAGACTCCGGGAGGTATCAAGCTTAAGGAGGAATCCTAGATAAACCAAACCTAAGGAGGGACCCCAGAAGTGAACCAGGGAATCCGCCAGGAGGGATCTCTAGTGAAAGTGCAGCCTAACCTGAGACCAAAGGACCCCGACACACCTGAGGAAAAAAGGAATTTCCTTTTCATGCGTTTATTGAACGCACTTCTGGTAAGTGCGTATTTCACTCATTTCCTGTTTCACCTGTGGATTGATGATCCTGAAAAAAGGAGATACGACAGAATTTGCACATCACACTTTTTGTGTGACTTTGGGACGTTTAATATATCCATATTATCTTTTGTATTTTAGATATTGATCTGATATTAATATAGTAGTATTGGCATTATTAGCACTGCACCTTTTCTCTTTACATTGCTTTAAGAATACATACTGTACTTTCATAGATTTTATTTTTAACACCAGAAGTAAGGCTCTGTTCATACCTATGCCATTTTGCATGTCAGGCTTGGGGCAGCCCATTCATTTCAGTTGACTGCCATATGCGTGAAAATTGCACAAAAGAAATGCTTGACCGTGTTTAAAAAATACATGGTACTTCCCCATATGGAAGAAAAAATATATGTGAAATATATTTTAAAAAATTTTTTCCCAAATATATTGACATACATACAGTTGCAAGAAAAAGTATGTGAACCCCTTGGGATTACGTGGAGTTTTGCATGAATTGGGCATAAAATGTGCTCTGAACGTCATCTAAGTCACAACAATAGAAGAACACAGTCTGCTGAACATAATACTACACAAACATTAGATGTTGCCATGGTTTAATTGCACATAACATGTAAACATTCACAGTGCAGGGAGGAAAAAGTATGTGAACCCCTAGCTTAATGACTTCTCCCAGAGCTATTTAGAGCCAGGAGTGAGCCAACCTTGACTCCAATCAGTGTGATGATATTGGATGTGTTGCTGACAGCTGTCCTGCCCTTAAAAAAACACACACCTGCTTTGGGTTTACTGGTTTCAAGAAGTGCTGTCTGATGTGAGCCATGCCTCGCAGAAAAGAGCTCTCAGAAGACCTACGATCAATAAATTGTTGACTTGCATGAAGCTGGAAAGGGTTACAAAAGTATCTCCAAAAGCCTTGATGTTCATGTGTCCACGGTAAAGACAGACTGTCTACAAATGGAGAAAGTTTAGCACTGTTGCTACTCTCCCTAGGCGTGGTCGTCCTGTAAAAAATGACTGCAAGAGCACAGCGCAGAATGCTGCATGAGGTAAAGAAGAATCCCAGAGTGTCAGCTAAAGACCTACAGAAATCTCTGGCACATGCTAACATTTTTGTTGACACATCTACAATAAGGAAAACATTAAACAAGAATGGAGTACATGGGAGGACACCACGTAGGAAGCCATTGCTGTCCAAAAGGAATATTATAGCACGTTTGAAGTTTGCAAAAGAGCACCTGGATGTTCCACAGCACTACTGGCAAAATATACTGTGGACAGATGAAACCAAGATTGAGTTGTTTGGGAAGAACACTCAACACTATGTGTGGAGAAAAAAAAGGCACAGCACACCAACATCAAAACCTCATCCCCGCTGTAAAACATGACGGAGGGAGCATCATGGTTTGGGGCTGCTTTGCTGCCTCAGGGCCTGGACGGATTGTTGTCATTAATGGGAAAATGAATTCCAGAGTTTATCAAGACATTTTGCAGGAAAACGTACGACCATCTGTCTGCCAACTGAAGCTCCGTAGAGGATGGGTGATGCAACAGGACAATGACCCAAAGCATACAAGTAATTCAACAAAACAGTGGCTGCAACAGCACAGAATACGCCTTCTGGAGTGGCCCAGTCAGAGTCCTGACCTCAACCTGATTGAAATGCTGTGGCATGACCTTAAGAGAGCGATTCACACCAGACATCCCAGAATATTGCCACACTGAAACAGTTTTGTGAAGAGGAGTGGTCCAAAATTACTCCAGATCGTTGTGCAGGTCTGATCTGCAACTACAGGAAACGTTTGGTTGAGGTTATTGCTGCCAAAGGAGGGTCAAACTGTTATTAAGTCCAAAGGTTCACATACTTTTTCCTCCCTGCACTGTGAATGTTTACATATTATGTGCAATTAAACCATGGCAACATCTAATGTTTGTGTAGTATTATGTTCAGCAGACTGTGTTCTTCTATTGTTGTGACTTAGATGACGTTCAGAGCACATTTTATGCCCAATTCATGCAAAACTCCACGTAATCCCAAGGGGTTCACATACTTTTTCTTGCAACTGTATATTTGAAATACTACAATTTTGGCCATATTCAATATATTTCAATAAATATATGTTGAAATGCGTTTTTATTACATAATATATGAAAAATATTTTTAAAAATACATTTTCAAATATACTGTATGTCTTTAAAAACACAAATCTACATTTTTGGAATGCAATTACAAATATATGTAAAAATATATGTTAAAATGACTTTTTTATATGTAAAAAAAAAAATCTGAAGAATATATTTAAAAAAATTTTTTTTTGAAATATATTATTTTAAAATATATTCTTGATATTTTTTTAACATAGAAAAAAGTATTTTAAACATATATTTTTACATATATCTGTAAATGCATTCCAAAAATGTAGATTTGTGTTTTTAAAGACATACAGTATATTTGAAAATGTATTTTTAAAAATATTTTTCATATATTTTGCAATAAAAATGCATTTCAAATACAGTATGTGTATATATATATTTATTGAAATATATTTTGAAATATATTGAATATGGCCAAAATTTTAGTATTTCAAATATATGTCAATATATTTGGGAAGAATATTTTTAAAATATATTTCAAATATATTTTTCTTCCACGGGGGTTTGTTTAACAAAGATTTTGGCATGCATGAGTGTGGGCAAAAGCGTGTGCGATAGCAGGGTGCATGAGGGTGCTGTGCCGCATTTTGGCGTGTTGTAGGAATGAGCTTGATTTTGTGTGTGTTCCTGCAACAAATGTAAATCTAGCCTTAATGCCTCTTTAGGCTGCAAGCAAACTAGCGTTTTTTTTTTAAAGATCAAAAAACACTGGAAAAAAAATGCAGGCAATAGTAGTTTTTAATATCATCATTAGTACCGTTTTAGTAGCGTTTAGTAGTGCTTAGTAGCGTCAGTGTATTATTAGGGATTTTATTTATTTATTTATTTATTGTAGGAAGAAAAGCTAGAAAAAAGTTGTTTTAAAAGAATGTTTTAGTAGCGTTTAGCATTTTTTCTGCTGGAAAAACGCTCCAAAAAACTGTACAAAAAACAATTTGTTTTCTGCTTCTAGACGCCAAAGCTCAAAAAACGCTAATAGCCTCCAGTAGTGTGCATGGACACATAGGACAACACTTTTTAAAAAATGCCGATAACAGCTTTTACGTGCTTAAAAAAATACTAGTGTGCACAGAGCCTTAAAGTGATTGTAAACCCTTACATATACCCAGTGAAGTGACTGGCCTCAGGTGACACACAGAGATGAAACAAAACCTCCAATATAAGTTGTACCTGTTTATCCGCAGCCTTCTCTTCTCTACATCCATTCAAAGTGCTGAATTTTTAAAGCTCGTCAGAGAGTTCAGAAAAAAGGGTGTGTCAAGCTAAAATTATACTCTGCAGTGAGGAGAGCTCTGAGAGCTGATTGGAGGGAAGAGACACCTTCCCCTTCACACAGCACACAGGAACAAAACTGAGGCTGTCTGCTGGTGGTCGCTCCCTTGTCACCATTTTTTTTTTGGTGTCAGGAAAACTTGTCAGAAGTGATTTATGCTGATTGCAGAGGAACAAAGCAGCGGATTGAGACATGTACACGCTAGAGAGGGATATGCTTTGTTCATCTTTCATGCCTAAGCTTTACAACCACTTTAAAGAAAATTTAAACCCACCATTTATTATTCCTGATGTTCCTGCTGTATCCATCTTCCCTCCCACAGGCCATTCACTAGGAAGATCAATGTACTGCTGTTTCTCCTCCCTGAGCTCCTTATTAGCCAGCAAAGGGTATCACACTTAGTCTCCAAACACTCTGCATTATTCGATGACTAAGTCTAAGTTCACACCTATGCAGGTTGTGTTTCAGGTGTTTCTGCATTGCGTTTTACGTTGTGTTTTTGCACTTTTAATTTTTTATTTTTTTTTTATTTTTCTTGTTGCTAGGCAGATTTAAAACACATCAAAAATGCAGCAACAATGCAGCAATAATGCAATACATGCTTTTCTGCTGCGTTCCCATTGAAGTCTATGGAAGCAATGTTTTGCATTCTACGCAATGTTTTGCATTCAAAAAAGTCCCTGACCCTTTCCAAAAAACGCACTGGGTGAAAACATGAAGATGAGAACCTGTCCCATAGGAAATCATGTTAAATGGACTGTACTGCGTTTTGCAGCAGAAAATGCTTAGGTGTGAATCTAGGGTAACACGGTAGAATGCTCCACCGCAAGAAATGCAGCAAAAACACACAGCTTGCAGCATTTTTAGAAACAAACAATCCAGCAGCACGCTCATCTGACAGCCCGTTGGTGGATACCGTGTGTTACTATTTAACACGTTTGCTATGTGAAACTAGGGCAATGGAAGTGGGGCACTAGAAGCACCCATTTGACTTCGCCATTTGCCGCATGAGGCATTCCTATGGTCGTGCACCAGCTGTTGTACTGAGGGACCTCTTAATGGAGTGCTGAGCTGTTTTTTTTTTTTTACTGCACAGAATACTACAGATAAAAATCGCCTGGACTAGTGTATTAGAACTCCGAGAACATGGCCAGTTAAAGTGTATCTAAACCCGAAAACAAACATTTATTATATCGCAGCTGACCAATCGTTGGACGGTTGTATTAGTTTTCTTATTGTATGCTTTTGTCCTTTATTTTCACCTGGTGATCCGGCCAGAAGTCTGTTGTTTTTCAACGTCCTGTAACAAAGCAAGCTGTCCAGACAATGTAGCACTTAGAGGGTTGCGAAACACTTTTTCCATTGACAAGGGGTACTTAGAATGGTCAGATTTTATTCGTTTAGTTGAAACTTTTATTCCAAAAGGAATGGAAAACAGTTTCTGTGAATGCTTAAAAAGTGTTAGCTGCAGATTGGATTTCATTAGTGGTTGTAAGCCCTTACATACACCCAGTGCAGTGACTGACCTCAGGTGATATATGGAGACTAAACAAATCCTCTCACATAAGTTGTACTGGTTTATCTGCAGTATTTTCTTCTCTACCTCCATTAAAAGTGCTAAATTTATAAAGCTTGTTTGAGCTTCCAGAAAACGGGGTGGAGAGCTGAAATTGCACACTGCAGAGCTCAGTGAGGAGAGCTCTGAGAGCTGATTGGAGGGAAGAGACACACCCCCTCCACACAGCTCACAGGAACAAAGCTGAGGCTGTCAATCTGCTGGAGGTCCCTCCCCTGCAGGGGCGGACTGACAACTCATTGGGCCCCCGGGCAATAGGGGATCATGGGGCCCCTGTGTCCTTGCCCAAAATCAAAAAAGCCTATGAAAAAGGTACCAGGGGCATCTCATGGGGCCCCCTACTGACCCCGGGCCCTCGGGTAGTGCCCGAGTTTCCAAATGGTCAGTCCGCCCCTGCTCCCCTGTTACCATTTTTCTCCTGCTATCAGGAAAACTTGTCAGAAGTCACTCAGGCTGATAGCAGAGGAAGGAAACAGCAGTTAGAAATGACACTTAGTGCTCTGGATTGAGACAAGTACACACTATAGAGGGATATGCTTTGTTCATATTTCATGTTTGAGGTTTACCACCACTTTAAAAAAAAGTTTAAACCCACCATTTATTATTCCTGATGTTCCTGCTGTACCCACTCCCTCCCCCCCGCAGGCCATTCACTAGGAAGATCAATGTACTGCTGTTTCTCCTCCCTGAGCTCCTTATGCAGCCGAGAACAGAGGGAATGTGATAACTTATAAAAAAGCGGGAAAAAAGTCATTATGATGTTTTTTATATCTGCACACAAATGTTTTGCCTTTCATTTTTATTTTAAACTGAATAGGTTGTTTTACAATGTGAGGGTGAGTGAATAGCACATGGCAGATACAGACAGACTCTACTAAGCTCTCATTTATTCCTTATTTATATACTTTTATTAGGCTAGGTTCAAGTGTCCGTTCGGACCAGGGGCGGACTGACCATTTGGAACTCGGGAACTGCCCAGGGGGGGGTCAGTAGGGGGTCCCATGAGATGCCCCTGGTACCTTTTATAGGCTTTTTTTGGATGTGGTTTGAGTGTGGGTGAGGACACAGGGGCCCCATGATCCCCTATTGCCCGGGGGCCCCATGAGTTGTCAGTCCGCCCCTGGTTCGGACCGCAATTTATGCGGGCACAAGAGCCCATTTATTTGAATGGGCTACCATGTCCCCCCCGGGACATGCAAGAAAGAAGTCCCTGCACTATTTTTGAAATCACAGCTTTTACAGGAACTGAGGTTCCCAGTACAGTTTTGATTTCCAGTGTGGGCTGAGTGTCATTAGGAATAATGGCACCCGCCCACGGGCCTTGCATTTCTCTGTGTGGGTGGTATTTGTGTGGGTCCCGCATCGGCACCACACGCACAGATGTGAACCTAGCCTTTAGAGGAAAGACAGAGACATTGCAAAGAAGAAAACAAAAATTCCAGCAGTGCGTTCAAATGGTAATTTTAGTAATCAGTGTAGCCCTAAGGCCCCATTCACACTTGGCAATTTGGAAGCACAGACTATAGCGCCCAGCCAACTCACGGAGAGGCCCAAGTGTATTTCATTTTAAGAGTGCCTAATTTAATTAGATTAGGAGAGGGGTGCTTGATATGTTTTTTGTACTAACCTATGATGACACTTGGGCCTCTCCAGGAGTTAGCTGGGCGCTATAGTCCGCCACTATCATATGTCCCTCCTCTATGGCCTGATGAAGGAGCATGCATGTTCTGAACGTGTGCCATACCTACTGCTGCTGTATCTGGAGCTGACAACATGCCCGCCCGCCCTGTGGATCTACACCGACTAGAAAGTGCTGGGTCAGCCAAGGACAGTGTATTGGAGACCTGCCTGCAGCGGGACCGGACAGGAGTTGCACGGCACTTGACACCAGTCCAGGGGCGGACTGACCATTTGGAAACTCAAGCACTGCCCGAGGGCCCGGGGTCAGTAGGGGGCCCCATGAGATGCCCCTGGTACCTTTTTCATAGGCTTTTTTGAGTTTGGGCAAGAACACAGGGGCCCCATGATCCCCTATTGCCCGGGGCCCCACGAGTTGTCAGTCCGCCCCTGCACCAGTCTGACAAGCGCTCATTTGACTTCTACTATTGTGAGTTGCCAATTTTGTGGAAAGAATGATTTGTTTTTATAGCTGCACTTAGATGGCGCTGCTTCTCTCCTTTTTTATGGTTCACACACAGTCTTTTCTTGCTCTCCTTGAATCGGCTGCCACTGAGTCCAGCATTGTTGGATTATCCCTCAACCACCTTTGGACTTTAAGGACTTTATTTGTGTGGTTAATACACTAGCCATCCGATAATACATCTGGTCTTTTTCCTCTTAGTGCGCCAAATATCTCTCTTGTTCTTGCAGTAAATATAACATATCTTCCTATCTATTTACTAAGACTAGCAGCATAAGGATTAAAATAGAGGGAGTTTAGTTCTACTTTAAGTTGTGACACACAAATGGAAAGAAACAGGTTATGTCAATTGTTCATGTGACACTAATATAACAATGAGTCAGGTTAGCACAGATGGTAATTATTATGACTTTGCTGTTCTCGCAGGTTTTCAATCATGGAATGCTGAATCACATTGCACAGGCTTGTGTGTGTGATGTTCTCTATGTGCAAACGTTCATTCTGAGTATACAACATCATCATTGGGTTCGTCATTTTTTTAAATATATATGTAAAGTATATTTAAAGGCCAAACTTTTTTCTTCCATTTTGGATTGAGGTGACAATGGTTATCAGGGCAAATTAGAGTACATCTTCCTATTGGGGACCCAGACAGCATTAAAAACCTGGCAGGGGTTCTAACCCCTCTAAGCTCTATTCAAATTCAGAAACATGTTTTCAATTGCAATGTATTTACCCCCTTCCCGCTCACCCTGGTGTCCCTTTAAACAGTTCTGAATGCCTAAAGGATAGGAAGGATCGGTGATCATATGACCATCATCACAGTGATCACACCCTTTAAACAGTTCTGAATGCCTGAAGGATAGGAAGGATCGGTGATCATACGACCATCATCACAGTGATCACACCCTTTAAACAGTTCTGAATGCCTGCAGGATAGGAAGGATTGGTGATCATACGACCATCATCACAGTGGTCACGTAATCATGTGACCACTGTGATGATGGTCGTATGATCACCGATCCTTCCAGCACAGAGGTGACCAAAAGATGATGTTTCAGGGGTGCAGCCCTCCTCAGATGGGGAAATCAACCACTAGAAAAAGAGTAAACAGGTGGCGCACACACCTAGGGCATTATCCAACGTTTATTCAAAGGTATAAAAGACAAAAACATACTCACAGACGAAGCATGTATAAAAAGCTTTTGCATAATGAAGATGGCCACAACGGCAGGCAAGGTGTTCCAACTCTCAGTGCGGTCAGGAGGCTGATGAGTTTCGGGGACGAGTCCCTTTCCTCAGAGCTGCTGACCAGCCTCTCGGATTGATTCAGATGTGATGTCAGTGAGGTATACCGATGATAGAAACAAAACAGTGGTGCTTCTAATAACCTGGATGGGATTGTGTGGGTGAGAACTGATATAGTGTGGGAAGGCACGCCAATGTGGTCAAGCCAAACCATCTTTGACAGCTCAGTCTTTGTGCTGGGAGTGCACAGTCGGTACACTCTCAGCATATAAACATTGGCCATCCAGTGATACATATGTGTAGCATGTGCGTGTTAAAGCCACCATTTTTCTACTTCACATATGTGTTAGCTGCAGGGCTCAGAGAGTAGGTGCAGGCCCACCCACCTTCTGAGTCACCCCTTGTCTCTGTACCCTACCCACCCCTGAGTACCATCCCTTGTTTCCACGCTCTACCCTCCTCCCATTCCCGCCCCTTTCAGAGAAAACAGAACCAAGTATCATTTTGTGGCACTAAATAATGTATATAGATTTTGTTACTGAAGAAAAGCAGTAAAATAGATCCCCTGCAGCCAGCAACAATAGTCCCACCCCTAGCAACAATAGATCCCTTCAACAACAATAGACCTCCCAAAACAATAGATATCCCCAGCAACATTAAAGCCCCCCAGCAACAATTGGCTCCTTCAGTAACAATAGATCCCCTAAATCAATAGATGCCCAGTAACAATAGAGCCCCGCAGCAACAAGAGATTCCCCTCCAGCAGCAATAGGCCCCTCCTGAAACAATACATCACTCCAGCAACAACAGAGCCCCCCTGCAACAATAGACCCTTTGAGCAGCAATAGAGCTCCCTCCGAAACAATAGATCATTCCAGCAACAATAGATCCCCCACAAACGTCAGACCACTCTTTTAACAATAGATCCCCCCAGTGACAATAAATCTCCCAGCAACCAGCATCAATAGACCCTTCAGTACACCCCAGTACTCCCTGCCATTTAATACATTCAGTGCTGGAGGTGCCAGAACTGCATCCCCTGTATTCTTGCTGTAAAAAGCCCTTGTTAGGTGGTTGTAAAGAGGTTAGAATGTACTGTATGTGAACCCAATAATGGACTTCTCATTTGCTCTCTTTAGTCTCCTAACTGTGCCATTAGATGCATTATTTCTGTTTGATACGTGTAAAGAAGTACCTGTTGATCCTACCAGAAATCCAGTGCTGTCCTGTGCACTCTGCAGTGTTATCTTAGACATTTTTCTCAGTCTTGTCCAGGTTATCTCAGTGAACTACAGAATATACAGAATACCTTCCCCGTGTTTTGGAGGTGAACAAAGTGGGATGTGTTCTTTAGTCCTTTTCTAGTCTAGGTCCTGTCCCAGGATGAACAACGTTTCTGCTCCATAAATACAATACGATGAATGGGTATTGTCATCATAAGACAGAAGGTGTCTTACTGGCAGAATCAGCCAAAAAATAAAAGTAATGCAGCCTCCATGTCTAAGGCCTGGGTTTAGATCTACACTCCCCATTGGGGAGATTTCCCTTCACTTCCTGCCCCATAGCCAAGACTGGAAGTGAAAGGAAAGGAAACCCGGAGTGAGGGAAATCCCCATTAGAAGATCTCCCCTTCTTTACTGTTCTGGTGACAACCCAAAATTTGAGATGTTCTTTCACTTTAACAGGACAGATAGAAAGGATGAATCTCCCTAACGGGGACAGAGAGTAATAAAAACCTGACAGGTGTGCAAACCCCTCTGCACAATAAAACATGTTTTACCCTTAGCTTAGGTGATCACCATTCAGAGGGCAACTTCAAGGTGCACCCCCAGGGGATGTGTCTTTGATGCCATGGGTTAACAGGGAGAGGGTTATATATGGGGGGGGGGAGTAATTTAAAAAATACATTTAGTCTGGACACAGGCTTTCATTTTTTTTTACTTCATTTTGTCATTTTGTTTCTTCATGAGAAGGGCGCCGGTCTCTGTCTGTTAGCAGCACATAGTGAGTCAGTATGCAGTGATCTTTTCCTGCTGGAGGAATTAGGATCAGCTTCATTCTGCTTGCAGCCAAGTGACAGGTGTCAGCTAGAACAGGAAAAGCACAGAAATCTCCTCTGCGGGAACACAAACCGCACTTAAGATCTGACAAAACAATCGTTTGGAAGGAGATAGAGACGTTAGCTGGAAGTTGAAGCTGAGCTTGTAGCGTTGCAAAGCCACTTCAGTACCTAGGACAGTGCAAGCAACTGATATTATGTCTGTGACAAGGAAAGATTTGTGGTTTCTCTGCTTGGACTGCTTGGACCTTGAAGAAGGGGACATACCCCGAAAGCTTGCCCTCAAAATTGTATGCTAGTGCAAATAAAAAAAGTATCACGTCAGTACGCATTGGTTTCTTTTAAAATTAGTAGCGGCGCATTTACTAAGAGGCAAATAAAGAGTTTGCCTTGGGTAGCAATTTTCGGGGGGGGGGGGGGGGGGGGGGCCACCCCCTGGATAAAAGGACATGGTGAGGCACTGCTGAGGATCCGAGGAGGTGCGAGGATGAGGGTTGCTCTTTTGTACCTCCGGAGAGATAGGGTTAGTGAATCGGGAGGTGGGTGGTGAGGAGGGGGTTGGTTGCAGGGTCCGGGGTGGGGGGTTGGTGGTGATTCTGTGTTGCCCAGAGAGGCACAAGAACTAAATACACTGTAAAGTAGGGGTGTTCAACCTT